GTTAGTAGTGTGAGAAACAATGGTCATAGTTACAATGCTTATTATAAAATTCTGCACACTTTAGTTTCTTCTCTCACAGTCAACCTGAATATTCAGACAAACAATAAATAAAATTTAGTACTGTGATATACAAAGTAGGATATTGCCTCTTTGATTCTTTTGCACTTCTGTACATGATATATTACCTTAAATACTGAACAAGTGATCTACACTGGCCATTGCCCTCTGACATGCTAGTCTACAGTGCTGAACTCAAACAAGAGGATGTGAGCCATTTCTGATTCTTGAGTAACTGCTTTCATTTTGTGAATGCCATCTTGTGCTTTGGCCAGTAAGACTTCTCTCCTTTGTGCAGCTGCTGGTTTGTAGACAATCAAGTAATAGGAGCACTAATTCTTTCATAAACAAAAGTATCATCATCCAGCCTTTATAGGTTTTGAACTGAGAAACATTATAAGTAACAAGATTGGCTGTTGAGTCAAAAAGCCATGAGTTTGAATTCTAGGTTTGTTCTTCGTATCATATATTTGTTGAATATATGAAATTAGAAATACTATGTACTCTCTTGAATCCTTGTTTATTTCAGTTGAAAATTAGATGGTGTTGGTATTTTCTAATAGAGTTGCTATGAATCAAATAGAAGATAAAAAATGTTTATGCATACATGTAGGATGAAATGAGGAAATACATATGAAAAGCATTTAACACTATGCTGGACTTAGCAAATACTCATTGGTGCTATTATTTTGCTTGGAAAGATTTACCAAAATAACTTACATTTCTGAACACTTTGATTAAGGATGTGTATGCTTTATTTGGCAATTTTAAGTCTAGCCTCAGCATCACTAGTGGCAATTGACTGAGTTATGGTCAGTTTTATGAAGGATTTTAATCCTATTTTTTTAACACCCTCATGTTTGCTATACCTGGACAGGCTATATAAAATGTACAATCTTTTGTTCTTTTGATGTCTCCATTTGTAGAAAAACAAGATTGGAGAGGAAAAAAAGAACAGTTGTTCAAGGTATTTGACATTCATTTAGATCGGAAAAAGTGTACTCCTGCCTCTCCATATCAGTAAGTGGGGTGACTTCTGTGCTTGTTACCATGAGATGATCCAAAATATTATTTTAAAGGGAAAAGGAAATGAGCAATTTATGAAATATTAGATGTAAAATTGTTAGACAAGTATGAAAAAGTTTGCAACTTCTGTACTATAAAACTAATGAAAAAAGCTAAGGGACCAACACATTGTACATCTTTTTCTATTTTACTTTTTTGTTTGCAAAAAAGTCTTTAGCTGTGAACATCTCAAAGAATAAGAAAGTTATGTAACCACAAAGTACAGTGGCATAGGGTACATATTCCCAATCCAAAAGGAATGAATCAGGATAGAAAAGAATAGGAAAAAACAGTAAGAAAAACCAGCAGGCCAAGCAGTAAGTCCTATAGTTCCGTGTCCAGCATCCTGGGCACATGGTGGAGAGATGTAATTTCCAAAGGGCGTAAGTGGCCCCTCCTATGGATTGGTGAGTTGTAGCCCAGTTGGCCTTCCTCTTGGGCTGTCTCTACTTATGGCCTGCAACTTTTCTTGGCAGGCAGTCCATGTTCCTGGCACCTCCAACTTCCTAAGGTCTTTATTGAACCTTCAGCTTCGTTCCCACAGCTTCATGCTCTGCCCTCTCAGGGCCTCATTTCATGGCCTCCCAGGCCTTCCTTTGAAGGCTGGAGATAAATCACATGATCATCTCAATAGATGCAGAAAAAGTATTTGACAAAGTCCAACATGCATTCATGATAAAAACCCTTCAGAAAACTGGGATAAATGTTCTTTATCTCAATCTGATAAAAACCACCTATGAAAAAATCAATTGCCAACATCATACTAAATGGTGAAAAACTGAAAGCTTTCACTCTAACATCTTATCAGAACACGATAAGGCTGTCCACTATCACCACTCCTACGTAATATAGTTCTGGAACGTTACCTAGAGTAATTAGACAAGAAAGAGAAAAAAAGGGAATAAAGAAAGGAAAGGAAGAAGTTAAATTATCATTAGTGGCAGATGACATGGTACTGTACATAGAAGACCGCCAAAACTCTACCAAAAGACTTACAGATTTAATAACTAGATTCAGTAGAGTAGCTGGATACAAAGTCAGCACTCAAAAATCAATAACATTCCTGTATACAAACAACAGACACTGAAAGAGAAATTAAGGAAACAAGACCTTTCACAATAGCATTGAAAAAAATAAAGTACTTAGGAATCAATCTAACAAAGGAAGTAAAAGACCTGTACAGTGAAAACTACAGTACTCTGAAAAGGGAGATCAAAGAGGATATCAGATAATAGAAAGATATCCTTTGCTCTTGGGTAAGAAGACCCAACATAGTGAAAATGGCCATATTCCCAAAATTGTTATACAGACAACGCAGTTCCAATCAAAATACCATTATCATACCTCACAGTATTAGAAAAAAAAATC